TGGAGCTGTGACACCAGCTGTCACCACCTTATGTGACCAACCCAACAGCATAAGGATTTACTTCCACTTCAGTTTCAGCCATTAGGATCTACCCTTCACGGGGCATTTTGGCAAAATCCCTTTCCTCTCCCCTGTCACCATAAAACCAGAGCCCTTTCCCCAAGAGCTGCCCCCCCAGCGGGTCCCCAGGCCCCGTGTGGCCCCACACACGCACCTTTCTTGCCGTTGTTGGAGGGGGTGGACTTCCCACTGTCCGAGTTGAGCTCGAAGACTCGCAGATCCGTGGGCCCTTCCTCCCTCAGAGTCTCTGTCCTGCCCTGGCCTTTGCTCTCCCCCTCTCTGAGCTCTGTACCAGCCGCTGGCTCCGAGGATGCTGCTGATTCCCGTGCAGGTGCAGAAGGCTGAGCAGGTTCTGGGAGCTTTGGCTCTTCCAAGGTGGCCTCCTCCAGCCTCTGGGAGAGGTCTGTGGTCCCGGCGGGGTGTGCTCCAGTCTGTAGCTGTGCAGCAGGCACAGAGGCAGGGTTTGCAATCTGAGTCACAAGGGACATGCTCTCACTGCTCTCCGAGGGGCTCAGCTCCGGGGGGAGCACGGCCCAGCTCCCCTCGGGGGGGCCCTGGGGAGCAGTGGGGTGGGTTCCCTCCGGGGCTGCCGGGGCGGGTTCTTTCTGTGCTGCTTCTGGAAATGTGATGTTTGCACAAGGCAGGGGTGACATCCCCAAGAACTCCTCTGTAGGGAGGCAGAAGAGAAGCGAGAGATGTTTCAGCAAGAGCAGCAGCAGCAGCTGGGCTGGGAGCTGGAGTTCACAGATATCCTGAGCTGGAGGGGACCCACAAGGATCATCCACAGGACACCTCAACAATCCCATCCTGTCCCTGAGAGAGTTGTCCAAATGCTCCTGGAGCTCTGGTAGCCTTGGGGCCATGCCCACTACCCCGGGGAGCCTGTTCAGTGCCCAACCACCCCCTGGGGGAAGAACCTTTTTCCTGAGATCCATCCCAACTCCCCTGGCACAGCTCCAGCCGTTCCCTGGGTCCTGTCACTGTTCCTCCACTGCCCCTCATGATTTGTGGGAGCGAGGAGGAGGCACCCATATAGCCCCAAAATCCACCTTCATCAAGACCCACCTTCATCCTCCTCCCAGCCTGGCTCCTCTTGGTGCATGCTCTGCTCCGCTCGCTGCTTCAGAGCCTCCCTCCGGGCTTCATCCTGCAGGGAATTCCCCGTCAGCAGCCCCACACATGTCCCCAGCCCCTTCCTCCTCAGGGCATTGCAGCATCACTGACCACAAGAAGGCAGCCAAGGCACACTGTTTTTTCAGGAAAAGCCTCTGCTGTGCCCTGGAGGGCTCCTTGGCTGCCGTGCCCACCCCCAGGGAGCCCCCCAGCCCGGGACTCACCTGCTCCAGGCGATGCACTTTGTAGAAGTAGCGCTGCCAGAACTCGGAGTGGGAAACAGCCACAGGGACCTGGAATGGGATGAGCTGCTTCAGAGGGAGGGCTGCAGCTGCTGCCGTGCTCCTCCCTCCTCCCAGGCCTTGCAGCCACCCCCCTGCACCGTGTTTTCAGGAGCACAGACTCGGGGCCAAGCCTCAGGCAAGATGCTCCAACACACACTGGGTAGTTCCAGAGGAACTCCTGTGCCAGGCCTGTGACAAGTATGGAATAAAACTACAAGCTGCTGCCTAATCCCCATGCAATCACAGTGATTTCCATACCAACCCCAGGGCCCAGGCAGCTCAGGGCTTCCCTGCAGCACTCCCCAAGTGAGGAATTGCCCACAGGAGCCAGGCAGGGCCTCACTCACCATTTTGGTGTAGAGGGCCCGGATGGACGGGCTGGTTGCCAGCAGCTCTGCCACCTCCCCTTTCTTCTCCTCCAGGCTGAACTGAGCCAGCCAGGCCTCCAGCAGCTCAGCAGGGCCTATGTGGGACAAGCACAGGGATAACAGGCCTTGGCACAAACAAGCAGGAAGAGTTTTGGGAGGTTTAACTGGAAAGATGCTGCTGGGGCAAAGGGGGAGGGAGACATGGGGCCCACATAAGAGCACCAGTTTAAACTGGGCCAGTAAATTCAGCCTAAGCTGGTCCCTAACATAACAGACAGATGTGCTCTCCATGACTGGTGATCCTAGCTGCAGGCCAAGCCAGCAGCCTCTCTGGGGAATTCCAGATGGATTCCAGACCCCCAGCTGGGCTGGGCAGCACCCCAGACCACCCCCCAGGCCCCCCCATACCATCAGGTTCGTTGCAGTAGGTGGCTGGGTCGGACTGGAGGCTGTAGAGACGAGCCTGGAGGAGACACACAGGGCAGAGCTGTGAGGGGAGGGGCAGCAGCAGAGACCCAGGGACAGGGCACAGGACTCCACATCCCTGAGCTTCCCTCCAGGAATAGGACACTCACCTTGGCACTGTCGTAGGGCTCGGTGGTACCTGAGGGTGTTGCCATCAGAGTTATAACGTCACAGTCGATGGTCTTGTCTGGTGAGGGGGCAAATGTGTCCGAGATGACCCCCAGGAAGTCTGACAGTCCCTTCCTCACCTTCTCAGTGGCACCTGAGGAACCTTCCGTCCTCTTCAAGAGAGGAACCAGCACAGGGTCAGTGACAGTCCCTGGACAGGATCCTTTAAGGAAGCAGGATGTCTCTCCCTTCAAAAAAGTGCTGAGAAGGTGCCTAGGCTGGAAGGGCATGGTGGGAGGCTCCTACCTCAGGATTTGTAACAGGTTTGTAGGGAACTGAGCCCAGGCTTTATGGGAAGGACACAGCCAGGTTTGGGACTGGCTGTTTTGAGGCTGGGCTGTCACAGCAGTAGCTGTACAGGGCTGAGGCTGAGGGTGACAGCTCATGAGGAGATCCAGTGCCATGCACAGTGACATTGTCAGGATCCCACCTACACAGCACAAGGGGAGAGAGGAACCACAGGGAACCTTCCTCTAGTCATCTACAAGGGCATGGAGTGATAGGACAAGGGGGAATGGCCTAAAGCTGAAGGAGGGCAGGGTTAGATAGATATTGGGGAGAAATTCTTCCCTGGGAGGGTGGGGAGGCCCTGGTACAGGTTGCCCAGAGAAGCTGTGGCTGCCCCATCCCTGGAAGTGTCCAAGGCCAGGTTGGAGCAACCTGGGTTAGTGGAAGGTGTCCCTGCCCGTGGCAGAGGGGTAGAACTGGATTATCTTTTAAGCTCCCTTCCAACCCAAACCATTCCACGACTCCGTGGCCTCCAGCAGTTCCACAAGGAAGCCCCACGCAGTGCTCAGCACCAAACCTGCCCTGCAGAGAAAACCTGACACCTGAAGGTCACAACTGGGGTTTCTCCAGTGTCCTGGGGGGCAGGACCACCCCGCTCACCCCCTTTTTCCCCTGTGCCACAGCTCTGCCAGCCCCCAGCTCACCGCCAGCCTGTCCTTGACCACGCTGGCCGTGGCGGCGATGGTGCAGGCGGTGTCGTGCTGCACCACCTGGGTGAACTCTGCCAGGTCCCTCTTCATGAACTCCAGGGCTTCTGTGGACTGCAAGGAGACAACAGAGCAACTGTGGAGCCTTTCTGCTCTCCAACAGAGCCATGGTCACTCCAGGAACACCCAGCATGTTACAAAGACTAGAGTGTGAGAGCCTTTAACCCAGCTGAGCCCTTGCCCCAGCCAGTGTAATGAGTAAGACCACAGCAACCAGAATAATAGCAGGATTTGCTGTGCACAAACCATTAAAGTAGGAGTGTTTTTTTTAAGCTAAGAATAGAAAAACACAGGTTGGGAAAAGCCTTGTTCTGAGTGTTGTGTATAATTAACACCAGCAGTGCTGCCACAGGCAGGAAGTTACACACCACAGAGCCCTCCCTGCTTGGGGGAGTGATTCTCATGTGACAGAGCCCAGTGCTGCTCCCCCAAGCCACGAGATCCCTGAACAGCATCCAGGGCCCCCAGCTCCTGGAATTCCAGCCCTCCCAGCCCTCCCAGGCCGTGTTCCAGCCCCACAGGTCCCACCTTCTCCTTGACGGCCTGGTAGCTCTGCTGCAGCCAACTGCGCCACCAGCCCCCGTCCTCCCTGCGGGATAGGGGGGGACACGGCGTCAGGACACACAGACACAACAGACAGACACGCAGACAGACACACAGACAGACACAGACAGACACACAAACACGCAGACAGACACACAGACAGACACGCAGACAGACACGCAGACAGACACACACATGGAGCCTGAGCCAGAACTCCAGCCCAGACTTTAGAGCCCACACCCAGCCCCCAGATTACACTGCACAGACCCAGACCCAACTGCAGCCCCAGCCCCAGATCCCGACCCAAGCCCAGATCTTGACCCCAAACCCCAGATCCCAGACCCAGATGCTGATCCCAAACCCCAGACTCAGATCCCAGACCCTGATCCAAGATCCAGATCCAAGACCCCGACCCCAGATCCAGACCAGGAGCCCAGATCCAGACGCAGATTCAGACTCAGATCTCGAGTCCAAACCTCAGATCCCAGACCCAGATCCAAACCCAGAC